TCTTAAATATTAATTAAAATAAATACAATTATATCGGCTTTATATCGTACCCTGCTTTCCAAGGTATCGGCATCGGCTGTCAAAAAAACAGTATCGGTCGACCACTACTTACGATAACCTGTAGAAAGAAAAAAACACATCTTAAGCACGCAGAGTAACATAAGTGGACTTTAAACGATTATGTGCCGCTTTGAACGATTACGTAATTGTGGCATCCGTAATTGTAATCACGATTAGAAATTCGATTAATTGTGCAGCCCTATAATGTACAGTATGAAAAATGCATATTTATTTGTGTTATTCAATTACTGTTATTAGGTTAAGTAAGTATTATTTAACAGCAAAGGTAAATCTAATTATAAAAATAAAGGAGCAGCATATCCTATATTGACTGATATTGAAAAACTGAAAGTATATGTGACCCTGGACCACAAAACCAGTCTTAATTCGCTGGGGTATATTTACATAACTTAAAATATAATAAAAATATAAATAATATAAAAATTGATCATGAAACTAATCTAATGACACACACCTGCGAATACATTGAAAATATGTAATAAATCTTCCAACCTTACTGGAAAAGTTTGTAAAAGTAGATGCGTCTTCAAATTTAAAGATAAAAACAAATGTGCAGAAAGATGTTAACATGGCAACTCAGCTGGTGTACCAGCACTGGTGTGTCCAAACAACCCATTATTGACCGTCACAAAGCGTAGGAGTGAAAATCAATAATGTTTTCCCTGGACTACAGGGTCAGATGCAGTGACAAAGAGAGCAAGATGGCCCCCACAGCAGCAGACATGTGTGACTGGCAACTCTTTCCACTTTTCTCATGAGGATACTAAAATAGACAGCAGATTCCAAAGGGTCATGACACAATCACACAAAGCGATTGTTCAAAGCATGTTTGCTTGCTTACAAGTAGCAGACACCATGCTGTGGGGAAATAATACAACGTTGTGCATAATAGAGTGGGTTTAGTTATCTGCACGTTCTTCAAAAATTCACCCCGTTAAATTCATGCAGCCCTTGAGCCATGTTCTTGGTAAATGAGCATCATAGTAGAACTTAATTATTAATTTGAACGGGGAAATGGATTGATTAAACTATTACATGGGGCTCCATAGGCCTCGCTATTAAAGAAATTAAGGCAGTGTGATGTTCCCTTTTTAAGCCTAATAGCTCTCAGCACAGCGTACTTCCAGCATGGGGTTAAATGTAAACAGCAAACATTATATAAGGCCATTCATTGGCGTTTCAAGTAACATGTCATTTCTTTAAAACGCACAGGGGGTAATAGTACAAGACTGAGTGATTTACTCTACAAAGCAACTGTATTGCTATTTACCGAGAGAATTGCAACAGCTGCATTATGAGCAAAACTGTATTTTCTTCTGATCTCTGTATCACATTTGGCTCATCCCTCCTGACACCAATGTTTATAACAAGAAAGAAACAATGCGAGAAGTTAGTTGACAAACACAACATCTGTGCAATGCCAGCTACTGCTTTCCCTCGCATCTCTGCTGCATCACTGATCATGACGGAAACCTCAAAGGTGTTTTTTAGGAAATTTTACAAGGTGAAAGCAGCAGGGACAAAGCAAATGACAATTATAACAAAAACACAAATATCAAGTTTTCCCAATGGAAAAAGCAAAGATCTTTAAAGAAATAAGTACATAAACAGTACAACTGCTTTATGAATTGAGTATATTTACTGAAGCTGTACCTAACAATTTTTAAAGGATATTTGTTCAATTTGCAAGTTGGCCATCATAAGTCAAATATTTCTGAACAATGCTCACTCACTGGGTTAGACTTGTTTTTTTTTTTTGCATTCTCTTTTAATACAACCCAAATTTGGAAACAATAACAATAATAATAACAACAATAACAACATAATATCATTTCAGCGTTGTTGCTAAGGTGGTTGTTTTCTACATTTTAGTGGATCATTTTAAAATTAAAATCTTTCAATTTTAAACATTTTCTAACGCTAAAAATAGGTAAAATGCTAAAAAAGCTAAAAATGTATTACATGATTAAAGGTATATAAAGGTCTTTTTTATTCTTCATTTATATTCTGAGGTGATATTCTTAATAAATGTAGTCTAAACCCCAAAAAGGCAAAAGGCAAATTCTGTAGAGTTCATTGTTTCATCTACAAAAGCGCGACTAAAGAAAAAAAAAATCCATGTCATATAAGCATGACTTTTTATGGCCTTACATTTTTTAAAAGTGAATTGAATACATTTTAATGCTTTTTAAGGGTCCATGGAAAACCTGCTTACTGAATGTGTCCAGAATTTTGCTTTATTTTCTGTTCTAGATGCGTTCAGCCCATCAGAAATGTGGCCATTCACATTGCTTCCTAAAAGGCTGCTTTAATTTTTTATACATTCAAAAAGGTAATTTTCTTTGTGACACTGCCCTTTAAAGTGGGTCGAATGGATTTTTAAAATGTCGTAAAAGCGTATGATGTTTGTCTCGGCGCTGTGCGTAAGAACATTTTGGATATTCCATTCAGCCCTTAGCATCATCAAGGAAGCACTATATAGTTCAATGCAATTTACCCTTGAATGGAAAACAGGTCAATGTATCCTTTGATCTTGCTTCTTTCTCACCACTCCCTTTCTTTGTTCCAGACCAGCAAAGCCGTAACCAAGGGAGACTTCCCATTGGCTAGCATCGCATCTAGACGAGCCTTGTTCCTAGCCGCTCTCTCCATCACCATTGGGACGGGGGTCTACGTGGGCGTAGTGGTTGCCCTCATTGCGTATCTGTCCAAACCAGGCCACATTTAGCACAGCCAGAGGAGGACTACAGAACTCCACGATACTACACAACCACCTCTGAACGTCTTTTTCTAAATGTCTCATTCTCATCCCACCCCGTGGACTGCCTGTCCGCCCAAATGAGAGAAAGGGTGGAACCAGAAGAGGATGAACCAGAAGAACTGGGGACTTTATCACCTCAGTCATAATATATAATGTAAGCTTCACCTTGTGTCACACCACACTGGATAAAACTTAACTAAGTCTGAGAGCAGTTCAGGTGAAGAATATAAACTACCGACAAATAAGCAATCCAATTAACCAAACCCAAAGGGACGCTATTCCAAAGGACACATGTAAGGATCAAATGGGTCTAAGTGCCCTTGGATTTGTTTTTCCCTTTCCAACTGTGCTTCGTTCCGAACCTTAAAGAGAAGTCAAACCGTTCTCCGTTTCTCTCTCTCATTACTTACTTACTCCGTTAAACCCTGTATATGCGTGTGGCCCAATTAAACCAGCACTGCTGAATATACCAACTGCAGTCTGTGAGCGCCATTAAAAAGGACAGAATGTTGTCCAAAATAACAGCTTTGTATGTTATAATAAGCGAATGTGGAGTTCATACACAAACTTAAATGCTTATCATCACAATCAAGAAATAACTATCAAAGACAATGCAGTCCACATCTATGAATTGAAATTCATCTGTGAAATTCAGCACCACTTATACACAACATGTATGTCGTCCCCACTTGTTTATGGCTCTATGCTTTGTGTTATAAATTCTTTGTATTTTGTTTTGTCTGAAGTCCAAATCTTCGTTTTGACCCAACATAGGCTGCAAGAGTAATGTGATGTAGAAGAAAAAGATAACAAGGAAAACAATTGTTTATTTTATATCTGTAAGGATTTGCTTGGCTTTCTTTTACTCCCAGATGTCTGAACTGAATTTAAATGAAATAACTGTACATGTGGATGGTATGGCGATGTGTCCTTTCACTCCCCAAATGCATCACTTAATGTCTCTTATGATTTAAAAAAAATCTTGAGAGTTGGCAAAACTCAAGACAGATGGTTAAAAAATGTACTATATACTTTCCTCAAATCCTAAGATGGATGTTTGAACAAAAAGGCAGGTTTTGTTTTCAGGTGAAAGGGACTCAGATTGAATCGATTAATAATGTATTGGATGTCTCAAAGCTCGCAGGCATGAGAACGAACTCACGGGGGATGTTGAGTTAAAGGTCGACTAGTCTATTTCAACAACAATGGAGACTGAATCTGGTGTAGTCATCCGCATAAGAACTTCAAAACATGGTGGCTAAATAGTGATTCGGGGCTTGACTTGAATTCCTATGGTACAGACCTCAGTTGGAAGCTGGTAGAAATGAAATTGGCCACATATTGCTTCCAATGGTGATTTGAAATACCCAATAGCAATGAATACCCTGATTCTACACAAGTTTACATATTTAAAGTAGGGCTGCACAATTAATCAAATTTCTAATCGCAATTACAATTATGGATGCCACAATTACGTAATAGTTCAAAGCGGCAATTAATCGTTCAAAGTCCTCTTATGTTATTCTGCACGCTTAAGATATGTTTTTTTCTTTCTACGTTATCTTGTTTTAGTTTTAGTATAACATTATAATACCATTCATATTTTTACTAAGAAGAAACCAATCCGATGTATATTTGACATTTAAGGCTTAATACTATAGAAAAGCACTAAAGTTTTTTCAGTTAGAGTGTTTTCAACTTGTTTATTTTCATATAAAAATACGGCATGCAGTTGAATCAAACAATGGTATAAACATCATTCAATGTAAATTGTAATAATCGTAATTAATAATCGCAATTACAATTTCAAGGGAATAATCGACAATTATGATTTTTGTCATAATCGTGCAGCCCTAATTTACAGTGTAAGGCCTTTAAGGTTGGATTCACAAAACATTCAAAGTATAAAATTCTTTATTTTTCGAAATTTTATTGTAAGTAACCTCTTAAAAGTTAGGCTAAACTCTAACCTCAAAGACTTTCATTTTATTCTTTAAAAAAAACTAAGATACTCTTGAGAAAATTCTTAAACAGCATTTTAATAAACTTTTTAAGAACCTTCTTGACTTTTTTCTTAAGTACATTTTCCTGCCCCAGGAGTAGGCACAAAAACATAATAGCTGACATCACGGTACTTACAGGTTGCAGATGCTTTTTTAATTCTGGAGAGACTAATTCACAAGGACTTAAATGTGTGTGGAGAACCATTCATTGTGAAAAAAGCAAACTGGTAAAGGTCATGCTTTACAATCTTCATGTAAAATTGTAAGTACAACTGAGCAACAGTAAGGAACAAGCTGTACTTGGACTTCTGTTGTAAGACTTAACTTCTGCCTGGAGTTAAGTATCGTTATTGCTATTATTATACTGCTGAATTATATCAATGTGTAAAAAGCGTAACCTGGTTGGTCACTGTAATAAAAATTGTAAACAGATACAACTGATTAAAAATACATTATCTCAAATAAGAGTCAACAGATCAGGGAAAATTATCTACAGGAGGACAGGTTTCTATTGGTGTGGTGCTTTTGTCAAGGTTAACAGATTTACTCATTGCCAGTGCTGTAATCTGAGAGACGTTGGTGAGAATGAATTCACTGAATCATCAAGCTTTTATTAGACAAGAATGAGCAGAAATCAAAAATGAGGCTACGGTTGAGGATTTTACAGCTAATTCACTGTTCATATCTGTGCCGTAAGAACTAATAACCCTTAATGCTTAATATATGGCACCAAAATGAAACACCTGAGAATAAAAATAAATTCTCATACCAGTCATATCAGAACTTTTGTAGATTTTTATCCAAACACACCACCCTTCACATACTTGAATGCACAGCAGGAAAGAATAATGCCTGGATGACTAAACGCAAACCTCTGCTGCGTCCTCGGAGCCTGTGATGCATAGCACACACTTAAGACCTGCTGGTTTTGTTGCAGTCTTTAGCAAATGCATTTCCACTGCAACCACCGGAGCGTTGAAAGCCAACATGGGACACTTGCAGTCTCCCAGCGCAGGTCATGCATTAGTCATACCTGACATTTACGGTTCACAATTAGCTTCCCATAATGGCTTTTTCTGAGGAAGTGTCTGGTCTCCAGAGCATAGCTGGAAATAGCAAAACAGAATCGGTTTTTACAAATAACACTCTACGCTACTTTGCAGCCACTGAAGCTTGACCAAGCAAATCTTTGCTATTTTTAAGCGCAGCAGGAAAAAAATTAACACGTGGGTTACAAACTACAAATCAGGGTATCATACTTGCAAAAACTCAAATTGGCTCTAATGAAAATGGGTTTCACTTTCCGCCAAGGTCTTAACTGATATGCTATCAAGCCGTTTACATTTTTTGTTTGCGTCATTCATTTCTAAATGAACAGTGTCAGTGTCTGCCCTCCCTTGATTGTGTATCAGCCTGGTCCTTTTCCCCCCGTTTTACGTTTCCATAGTGACTAGTCATTTTCAGACGTTCATTTTATGTCACATGCAATGACCTACACTGTAAGAATAGTGAGATTAAATGTGCATTTTACCTTTGAAAATTTTACTGCAATCATTTCTGTCTGCTTTGTGTTTTGCCATTGTCATTCAAATGGTGTTTTTAAGGCTGTAAGGTTATTTTGGTATCACTCATCAACAAACTGAGGAATGTCTGCTTCAATGAAAACAAAATGAGAGAGAGAAAGAGTAAAGTGTTTATAAAGAATGTCAGTGTTTTCTTGGTATTGTAATACTTTCTCATTCATGATCAGAATGTGCTTGTGAGACAGTGACAATGTAAATACTGCAAACTAAAGACGAGATGCAGCGGTATAAAATAAATAATTTGAGACAAAAATGACCTTGTATCTTTTAATGCAAAGGCTGGATGTGTTTTTGCCTTTTGGGAAAATATGATACAGTGTGGTCCTCGTGTGAATCTCTCTTGTCAGGAACAAAACGCTAGTCAGACTAAACAGACGGATGAGTCATATTCGAGCATAGCAGAGGTGTGTATGGAGGTGTGAGGATGAAGCTTCATGCTTTCCCCCCCTTATTTTCCATATATCAACATCTACAAAATCATTCAGTGGAAATCACTGAGGAATGTTATATATTTGCAATTTGATTAGTTCAATATGTATTACTTACCTAAATTCAGCAAATGTAAAGCCAGTCTGACACAAATGCAAAAGGTTTGTTTTTTGAATAGCTTGTGCTTTTGTAGGCAATACAACAACATTCATTTACAGAGTCGGATGAATTGATTATTAAATAAATCACTGGCCTCAAGGGCTGAATCATCTACAGACCACACGCAGGGATGCATTTGAGTGTTTGATTACAAATGCAATCAGCCAAACAGGAAGTGTTATGACAAATGGGATTTCTTTAAAGCATTCATTATAAAATGTTGCTGGAGCAAAACAATTTTTGAAGAATTTCTTCAATCTCATATATTACATTTAATGCGTTGGAAGTGAAAGTGATGGTTCACCAAATCAGTGTCATTGATCTACATCATTAGTTCTCAAATCTGGTTCTACAGCCCAAACAAAACTACACTGGATTTCTTTTTTATCCTATTCACACCAGGTATTAACATCTAGCTGCTATAGAACATGGCACAATTCACAACTCACATGCACTCTCCGCTATCTGTGACGTCACATGCATCTTCTGAAGACAAACCGGAAATTAATTGCTTTATTCTTGTTGTAGAAGAGGTTTGCCACATATTGCTTCAGCATGTGTAATTAAAAATGTTTGTGTATGTTAGGCTAAGTATGGGTATGTGTAAACGTTGAGGCAATATGTGGAAATACACTTTTTTATTTTATGATTTATATTGTTTTGTAGGTGGTAGGTGTGCTTTCATTGCCTGAGGTGAACCGCAGCAGTTATAAGATGCAGATCCTTTTTTTTCCAGAGATGCCGTGTGGAAAGCATCAGCACCTGCAGAGGTTGTCTGACTCTGCAGACACTTTATTTATTTATGTAGTTTGAAGTTAAAAGTAGTGCTGTTAGCAACTCAACAATAAATGAACGCAATGTCCGCATTACACATTTTTAAGAAAAATAAATAAATAAATACATCCTCCACTGAAAAGCAATTACAACTCAGGTCATTTATTTCCAAAAAGTATAATGTATGAAATGAATTGGTATGAACTGGTACCTGACATTCAAATTAAAATCCGCCCTTTTTTCCTGTGAGAGGATTTAACAAAATCCGTATCCTGTAATGAAAATGTGATTTGCCAATCCTGACCAGCATTGACATTCTGTTAATCAGAATTCTTCTATATGCAAACAAGAATGTACAACTGACATATTACTTTCACATTCAAGAAATAAACTGCATTTTTTTGTCCAGTGCTTTTCAGTTATTACAGATTTCTCTGCAGAGAGTGATATGTCTGCGGTCAGATCTTTCTATCAGTTGATCCTTAAAAGGATAACAACCATCTGACATCACATGCAGTGACACAGATCATGTAAAAGTACACACACACCTTAAGTTCAGGTATTAAAAGAGCTTGACTACAATAAGAAGGAAAGAAATCTTGTTTGTGGTGAAAATAAGTATACAGCCACAAAACCAGAGACCTTCAATGAAATTCATTAACAAGTGGTAAAAGAACTAAACACCAGGTGTAAACGGGGTCTAACACTTGATTCAACAACACAATACATTTCTGGAATGGGCATGTTAAAGCTCAAGTGTGTCATTTCTAACATTACCAAACAGAATTGCAAAAACAACCATTTTTTTCAGGTTTCCTGAACAATTCCCCATCAGCCAATGGTCAGACAAACAGATAGTCCAATCCAAACATTATTTACACATTTAACATTGTGGATTATGTATGTGTCTGTTTTTTCAGTGTCATAAGGCCTCCAGGATCAAGACTGAGATACCGGTCTATGAATGATGAATGGTGCGTTCCATCATGCCTTCGGACTTCAGGAAACAATTTAGTTTTCTGCCTTTGTACTGCCAGACTGTTACTTTTCTGCAGAGATTAGCATGCCGTCTAACATCTGTCTAATTATGTTCATATCTAAGTATCAATTTGCCTTTTCCCATTTTGCCAATTCGAGCTCACTACAACAGGAGGCTGCATGACAGGAATAGCTAATTGTGCCAAGAGAATATTGGGCAGAGGTAAACGGCAGATGGGTTTCAAAGCAGATCCGCCTCTCGAACAGCATTTTCAGAGACACCTTCAGGGCTCCTCCCAGCAATCTCACAGAGCGGCTGAAGT